ATGGATTTAGTTTGGGAAAGACTGATAGGAAGGTGCCATGTTTATACCAAGCTTTCTGCAGGGCCTAGCTTACCTTCCTCTTCTCCAGTTACACTGTGAATTCTTAGCTGCTATGAGGTTGCTGGGTTGGTGACAGATGCTATCGTTAGGCAGAGCTAATGCTGCATCTCACCCTTGACATTGTTTAATTCTGCTCCTGTTTGAAAGGCATTGGAATGGGACAAGTTTATCTGATATTTGAGGTGGGCCAGAGTGAGAATGGATCTATCCAGTGATTCTTCTTGTTGCGTTTCTTTCTCTTCCAAAAGTGGTTCTGATGGTCTCTTAAAACTCTGGACAATTAAAACAAATGAGTGTGTGAAAACATTAGATGGTCACGAAGATAAAGTCTGGGGTCTTCACTCTAACAAGCAAGATGATATGGTTGTGACAGCATCCAGCGACTCCTGCATCACGCTGTGGAAGGTACAGTACGGGGTCTTTCTGTGTTTTCTCTCTGGGTTAGTAATCAGAATGCGGTTGAAGAGCTCAGGATCCAGTGGCTCATTCCTTGCTGTTCCAGCATGACACATGTTCTCCTAATTTTCTGCACTTTGAAGTTGAGTTGGTAAGGTGTATCTTGCAGGGTTTTTTTTGGCCATACTGTATTTCCTCAGCTGATGTTGTAAAAGGAACAGCACATGGGCCTTAGCAGCCTGCCCAGTGCTGGTGGTCTAAAGGTGGTTTGAAGGGAAGTAGTGAGTTGCTGGACTTAACACTTAAATTGCTTGGCCTATAGATCTTGCTGCTGAAACTGGTCTCCAAATCACTAGATGGCTAAATAAAAAAATCATCTGTATGAAAGCAAGATTTGACAAAGTTGTGTCCTGGGGTTTTTTTATAGGATGTCACTGAAATTGAAGAGAAAGAAGCGCAAGCTAAACAGGAGGAGCAGATTATGAAGTAAGTTGATCTTGTGCAATAAGGAGCTGTGAAAGGCAAACTCTGTCCAGTGAAACTGTCCACACGTACAGCCATCCAGCTCCGTCTAATCCGAATATTACATCATTCAGCTATTTAGAGGCTGTCAAGGCACAGTAGTCTCTTCTACCTTGTAGCTTATCTTTAGATCCTGCAAAGCCGTGCTATAATGCTGTCAGCTTGACAATTGACGGGTGTCACATTTATGCACTAATAAGATAAGCAAAGTCAAACCGCTGAAACCAGCTTTCACTTTCTCCTGCTTCAGCCAGCACCAAATAGTTCAGGGAGCCCTTGAACGTGCCAGGGCAATTATCTGCACAATGAGAGCACTGAGGCATTCGTTGGCAAGCAGTATTAACTTCTTGGGGTTAAACCTCTGCCCATGGCTATTGCCAGATCTGCTACTTTATGTACAGCATCTTGTTCCGCCAACCAAATATTTGTCTCACTCTCTTGACCCTGATTTGTTTTCCAGAGAGCAAGAGCTTTCTAACCTGCTTCATGAGAAAAGATACCTCAAAGCTTTAGGGTTGGCAATCTCTCTGGATCGCCCGCACACGGTGTTGATGGTGGTCAAAGGTGAGTCCATGTTGTGCCCTGAAGCCATTTTTCTACCTTTTCTGCTTTCCAGAACATCTTTTCCAGGTAAACAAAGACTATGAAGTCTAATTGTCTGAAAGCCTCAGTTTTCCCTTTCTCTATGACTCCCATTTTCCTAAGTGAAATCAGCCCAGAAAACAAATGGTCTCCCTGCTCTCAGCCCATGGGTGCATGGGCTGGACTCTTGCATGAACTCTTCATTTCTCATTTTTGCAGCTATCCTCAAGGAAACTGATGGGAGAAAGCACTTGGAAGAGAACATTGTTCGGCTCCGGAAGGATCAGAAAGGTTTGTTGCAACATGGTTTAACTGAAGCCCCTAACCTGAAAGGTTTTATGTTTTCTCAACTGAAATTAAAAGGAGAGGAATCTCCCTAGACTCAGCATTTACCACTGAGCTCCCACCACCCTCGAGCAGGACTGCTGGCCAGGGACAGCTGCTTTGTTGCGGTGCTACTCATGATACGCACCAGCAACTGCTCTGAGCTCGTGTGAGTGGCTTTGCCGGGCCTTACCACCCCTGTGCTTGGGACGTCCCTGTGACAGCAGCTCCAGAAACAGTTCTCTCCCTCCTTGTTCTGCCCCCTCTGGGCTCATCAGTCACAGTGTGGGGGAGCTGAACTGCTCTGTAAGACAGGAGAGATGCTTTCTAACTTGGCATCTCCTGCATGCCAGCACCCATGGCACAGCCGGCGTGTACAAATTTCCTTCCTCCTTAGAGGCGGTGCTAACATTCTTGGTGACGTGGAATACGAACTCTCGAAACTGCCATGAGGCCCAAGCTGTCATTGAAACCCTCCTGAAGCATGAAGCACCAGACAGCCTCCTACAGTACTCAGGCATTAAATCTGCTGTGGAGTCCCTGCTGCCTTACACAGGTGAGTCACACTGCAGGGACTGGCCATGAGCCTGAGGTCTCCTCCTGTGTTGTGAATATTCCCTGTTTGCCTCGGTCTAAAGAGAAGAGAGATTTTTGCACCCTGTTCTGGTGAGCTTCCTCTCCTGCAATACTAACCATCAGACCTCTCTCTTTGCAGAGCGCCATTTTCAGAGGCTGAGCCGATTGCTCCAGGCCTCCATGTTCATTGATTTCATGTGGCAAAACATGAGGCTGGCTGATGCAGCCCAGCAGGAGGACGTGACTTTGTGACCCTCCTTCCCCCCAGTTGCTCATTCCTCAGGGGAGAGTCTGAAGTGCTTTCCCACAAGGCAATTGGACTGTTCCTGTCTTTTATAATAAATTTTTAAAGTTGTGAATTTCTAAAACATTCGCTCTCCATGGGGCTTAGTGAGGGGGAAGGGGTCATTCCTTTGGCCGAGCTGTGGTTTCCCTTTGTATTTTCACATCCTGCATTTTCAGGCCCAGAGACTTCAGTTTGGAGAAAAGGGCAGAACCTGGCTCTGAACAAGCAGTTGGGTCTTTACTGGGGACTTAAAGACATTACAGAGTTGGGAGACACGACTGGCAATGTCATATCCTATCCCAAAGCCCAGCTAGGCAGCATGTGTTGATCAGCGTTGTGTCATTGAATATTTTCTTTGCCTGGGCCACAGCAGGTCTCTCGCCTGTGCCTGCCCCAAATGGTAGCGTCTGGGAGGGAAATAAGCACCATTTTAATTCCCCAGCTAGCAAATTTTTGAAGTATAAAAAAACCCAAGAAGTCGTCGTCAATATTTATGTGTATTTTATTTTAGAGAAAAACATGTATGAAGTTTAGAACAACATCAAGCAAGCTGGTTAAATTGCTTGTTTAAAAAAACAAACAAACAAAAAAAGCCCCAAACCAACAAAAACCCCAGATAATACCTGGCAGAAAAACTAAAATTAAAAGTAGCAATCTATCTAAGAGGCTTAAGTTTTCCTATAACTAAATTCTAGCAAATGAGTTTAGGATGAGAATTGCCGTAAGTTTCAGTAACTGTGACACCCCTCAAAAGGGGAATGTTTTGTTCATAAAAATGAGCTCTGGCCCCCTTAGCCCGTTGGGAAACAAGCTGTGCTACAACTGGTTTTGTGTCTGTGCCTGCACAGACATTGCTGTAGGGAACAGAGATGAGGTTCCCAGCCAATGGGTTTTTTTTTGTTCTCACAGCCATTCAGTCGATCCAGCCACTTCATAGATTTGGGGGCCAGTTCTCCACTACCCAAGTTGATCTAACCTTTTAAAAATACAAGCGAACAAACACACAAACGCCAAAACCCCAAAGAAACACCAAAAATCAGAGTTTTAAAAAAAAAATATATATAAAATAGGGGGTTCCGATAAATGACGTTCACAAGGTGGCGCCATCCCCTCCCCAATACCAATAATTGTAGCTCTGGATTTCATGGGTGACTCCAAGTCACTTACTCTGGGTTTCACTCCCACTCTCCAGGGTGGCCGCAGCGTGCTGCCAGCTTGCCCCGGTGGGGGGAATAATACAAGAACAATTGTGAAATTTTCACGTACTAGATTGCAGGATAAATACCTGCCTGAGGGAGAATTAACTGAATCCAAAGTGACCTCTAACTGACAGAGGAGCTGCCGGATCTGCAGCTGCCCTGACTCACATGATAAATGAAAATACTAAATCCGTTCCCACTAACTCCAGTAAAGCCCCTCCTGGCTGCCTGGTCCCTCTGTGCAAGCTGCAGCACGACTCGGCATTACACAGGGAAGCCGCATCTGCATGCCCATTCCGTCAGGATCTAACCCTGTCCTTGGGAAGCGACAGTCCCACACCCTGACACTCCCCATGTCAGGGTGTGGGACTGCCCATGGCTCCTGCAGGACTTCGGCGAGGAGGGTGCCTGGCTTTCGGCTGGGGCACTGGCCCAGGGCTGGGTCTGTGCCCCCGCCAGGGCCGCTAATGCGTGCTGCAGAGAGGGAGCACAGCCGGGAGGGCTGGCCGGGAGGAAGACTGCTGCACGGCTCGCTTTGTGATGGTGCTGCACTTCTGGAGGATCTCATGGGCTGAGGGGCGCACGGGCACCTTGGGGACACAAGTGGCCAAGTCTGGGTCAGTGAGGGAGTAGCTTAGATCGGCTGCAGATGATTCCACAAAGCCGGAATCATTCCTGTTGTCGTGGGTGAGGCGTGGAGACTTGCTGCTGTCTGTGGCCAAGGTATGTCCTGGGGGAGTGCTCCGAGCCTGCTCGACTTCAGGCAGAGATCTTGACAAGTTAGGCTTCCAGCTCAGCTGGCTGTCCCACTCGCTGCTGCTCCCGGAGCTGAGGGCCGAACTGTCTGACTCCAGGTCCGGGGTGGAGCTGGCCCTGGGCAGAGACCTTGATCTGCTTCTAGGAGCGCTCATGTCTTCTTCAGTCTGGTCAAGCGAAGAGGAAGCCTGCACGCTGCGCTGCCCCACGGCCTCACCCCGGGGCTGGGGAGCCATCAGGGGGGAGCAGAGGTTTGGGGTGGAGACATTGAGCCCACAGCTTATGATGGTCTGGAGCTTGTGGTGAGGATTCTTGTAGGGCCGGAGGCACATGGAGGGCATGTAGCCAGTACGGCCGTTGTACCTGAAGGGGGAGGATGAAAAGCAACACTGAGAAGAGCCCTTCTCCCCGCTCAGACCAACGGAGGGAGCAGAGCACCTGTGGGAGGCAGGTGAGGACTCAGCCCAGTGCTGTACACAGGGCATGAGGAAGGGGGAACCAGCCCTAGCCAAGGGCCGTCAACTCGGGGGGAGCTCCTCTGCACCCCGCTTGGGGAGGAGCAGGCAAGAAGCGCCCGCAGCAGGTAACCAGCTCCCTCGGGGAACGAGAGCTTTGGGAAAGCCTCCTTACCGGATCAGCCACCAGCCGTCGTCAGATTTCCTGACCACCTCCACGACGACACCGTTGTTCAGCGAGAGCTCGTCTGCCTTTTGAGACTCGTAGGCCTGCACAACAAAGTACAGGCTACCTGCAGAGAGGAGGAGGAGGTCAGTTTTGTCTTGCAGAGAAAATGCCTCTGTCCCTGTGACCGACCAGCTCAGCAGCCCTGGGGAGCAAGCGAGAGCTGCGTGAGCACATCTGTCACTTCCAGGGACACTTGTCAGAGACCCACAGCGGATGGCAGAGCTGATCAGAAGAGTCAGAGCTCCAGAGATCCAGGCAGGGACTCCCAAGCGATGTTTAAAGTGGTGGGGTTTTTACAGAACTCCTTTTTTGAAGGAGGAGTGTGGTGTCCCAGGGAGCCAGAAGCAGACTTACCCTCCTCCTTTGAGCTCAGGGTGTTCTGGACATCCTTGTGGAGGTCAATCTCTTCCAGGTACGAGGCTGGGAACCAGGCTATCTGCTTGTCTGCATTTTCCACTAGCCACCATCCTGCAGCAAACAGCAAAAATAAGAAAAGGGGTTTAACAGCCTGCAAAGTGGACAGATGGCCATAATCCCTGGGTAGGGGCTGCTCTGCCGCAAGACAAGGAGGGACATTCTGCAGGGCAGCTCAGTGCCTGGCCGAGGCCACGCCAACATTCGTTCTTCCCTCCCATGTCAATCCGGGTAAGCACAGCCACATGTACGCACACCCCCCCACCTGCGGTGCTACTGACTCGGCCTTTGCCAAGCTATGGATCAATCTACACCATCCATCCCTGAAACTGCAGAATCCCTGCCACATGTACCAGTCATGTCCTTGATTAACACTTCAACGATTTCCTTCTTGGCGACTTTGAAAGCCTTGTTCTTTGTGTCTTTGGTTTCAAAGGTTTCGATGCACCTGTAGCTCTGGGTTGCCTGGGGGTGTGTAATAGAGGAGAGCTGCTGCCGTGGCTGGGTTTTCTTTTCCCCTCCAATTTCTGATGGCATGATCACAACACTGAAAAGTAAAGATTAATATCGATTTACCGAAAACTCACATGGAAGGTCGAGTTTAGCTTCGTTTTGGTAAAAGTGTCTGTGCAGTAGGCCAAGAAAAGCTTAGGCACCAGAAACAATACAAACATGCATTAAAGCATTCAGTAGAACTGAACATGTGTAACTGTTGTTTCTCTTCTACCCGTATTCTGTAACATTTCTGTTTCATGAAGGTGCGTACGAGTGAAAAAATACAAATAGGATTGCATACCTGTTTTCAGGAAAGCAGGGATCTAGGTCTTGGGTCTGTGCCTTGAAAAACTGAATCACATCTTCACCCTGGGAAATTTTAGCGTCCGTTTTCAGCAGCTCCTGGGAGTAAGTTTCCAGCAGTTTCAGTATCTCCAGGCACCTGTTCAGCTTCCCACCCATCCTCTGCTTCGCATTTGCATCTTTAAAATAACAAGAGCAAAGCTGGCGTAAGACAAGAGCGGATTTGGATGCCTTGACAGCAGCATCTTTTTAATAGCTCCTGATACGATTTTCGCATAGCTAAAATTTATCTTTGTTCACGCATAAATATTGCAAGGAGCTCTGGGCCAATATTTCAAGTGTAATATTAATTTACCAAGTGCAATTATATATTAAAAAAATAATAATAATCTTTCTGAGTTATTTTAAGTCAGTAAGAGACCCAAGGGCATTGGTGTAACCAACAATGTTCTCCTTACCTTTAAGCCTGGGTATCGTCCGGTCAGATCTCCTGAGCGAGCCACTCTCGATGGGGAATTTTCTCTTCAGCTCTTTCTAAAAGCGAAGAGGAGGAGAGAATAGTGATGCTTTGCAGCCTCAACACATGGCTGGGCTCCTTCCCCCCCCTCCCTGGGACGGGAATCCTGTTTTCAGGGAAATATTCACTTACATGGAATCTTTTAAAGTCTTCAAATGTCCGGTAGATGAGAATGTTGTTCTGATCTGACCAAGACACAAACATCATGTAGTTCTGGAAAAATAACAGGCAAAAGAAATGCATTTTTTTTAATGACGACATTCAATATTGGATGCTTTCAAGCAATCAGGATTTGCCAGGGTCTGTGCTCTGGCTTCAGGCTATAAGACTGTCACATTAAAAAATTAGACATTAGACATACAAGAATATTTCCTTAATTTTAGGGCCCCAAATGGGTAATCGTTGTTAAAACCAGAACAAATGTATGACGCTGAACAGAAAGACAGCAGAATCAAAGATAACCATTTTCTTATGATTTTAAGACCATTAAAAACCAAGTCCAAGACCCCATCCTAGATCACAAGGCTCTAATCCCAGTGTTGCGGGGAAATGAGCAAGTATAACCCTGTTAGAGTAACTCAAAAAGCCCTCTAGTTTCCCAGTTTGTAAATATTTAAGGAGAAAAAAAGACCAAAATCTGACAAAAAAAAACATTAAAGTACCTTCTGCTTTCTGCATTGCATCAAGCCTACAGCTGTCACATCCATGGGGTACCTGCCACAGCTCATCTTCTCCAAGCCTGTTCCTCCTTCCCCAGGGCAGCCGGAGCAGAGATGCAGCTCCGGGCGTGACTCTGGTGGTTAAATACGCTGGAGCGGGAGGCAGGGCGCAGGTGTTCCCGCGCTTCCTCCTCCGCCCAGTAACGCAGGCAGAAATTCCGTAATTTGGCAAACTACCACATGCCTTTTACCTTTTTCCCCCCCCCCCCCCCCTTTAAAAACGAAAAAAT